CGCTCATTTCCAGTCCAAGTGCGTCTGTTTTGGAAACATTTCGCGAGTCTATGAGTGGGTATATTTGAGGAAAGTATTAGTGGATCCGGCTGACAAAAACATCGGTGAGTCTGAGCCTGAGTGAGTTTAAATAGAGAGAAATTTCGTTAGTCTCAGTCCGAGTGAGTCCAAAGCAAAATATTTTTTATATATGGTTTCCTTACACCGACCGTGCAGACAACAGCATAGAGGCTTTCACTTGCCGTCTTCGCGCTCGCGATGATCAAGAGTTGAAATTTGGAACATCTGTGCACCGGGCCCCAGTGCATAAACCGGGTTTTCTGCAGAACACCAAAGTCTAGATGGTGATGGTCTACAAGTCCTTCAATTAGCAGAAGTGGTCTTTTATAATGTGCTTTACTTTTCCAAGTGTGTCAGGCGTATAGTCTTCTATGCAGCCCCCTAGCATAGATTTAATTGAAGGACTCATTGAAGAAGCGATCTAAACTAGTTTTCTTTTTGTACCAGCACCAAATAGCACATCGGCACTACTGCCGCGTGCTCCACATAGCACAAGTCAGTTAATAAACAAACACCATGATAAAAAATAGCAATGGGCAAAGTGCGTGGTTTGACCCAACACCCTCAAGACTGGAAGGTTTCGTTACACCGGCCGTACAGACAACAGCATAAAGGCATTTACTTGTCATCTTCGTGTTCGCGATTGTCAAGAGTTGTATTTTGCAACATCTGTGCACCGGACCCAAGTGCATAAACCGGGTTTTGAGCAAAAATATGTCGCTCCTTTCTATCAAAATATGCCAGATGGAAAATTCCTGGTGATCGAATGCTTGGTAGTCTGTAGGAAATCCTGTCACTGCGTTGATATGGCTTATCGTACACCATTCTATAGAAGCAGCAGCGGGGCTTAACACTTATGAACCATGGAAAAGCGCAGACAGAGAACAAGTACTCCCACGTGCGAACTTAGTTTAAAAAATATTGGAGCGATTTCCTTCTTTTTTTTTTTGAGTATCATTTCCAGAAGTCATGCGCGGCGAATAAATATTTGTAGTACTTTAACTCAAATATATGCGAGTAACAACCGCCTCATACCTCGGCTATATAATGAAAATATACTAGAATTACAATACTAAGAAAAGAAGCTATCGCACACACTGCACGCCTTTTTACAGTAAATGCACGTTAGGTACGTCATTGCGACCACTACCAATTCCCTCTCGGAGTGAAACTGTGCGTGCTTATGTGCGTGTGTCTGTAGAAGATGTTAAGATCGGCCTCCCTGGCTGGGCGCCACTTGGACGCGGGGGACGATTGCAGCTAAGCCTACCCTGATTTGTTCCGGATCAACGCTCTCGAGGTGCGCCAAAAGAGGCGACAACACGAAAGTCATACTTCGAATTCTTTAGGGCTGTTGGCTCCCCCCGTCAAAAACTCTTTGGACACGCCTGACTGACTCACGGCCTAGGAAGAGCTGTTTGAAATCGAGGCTGCTTGATTTGTTCGACGTGCCAAAAGACGCGCTGAACAATTAGCCGAAAGCTTGGGATGCCTCGTCAGGTATGTTTCCCACAATCTGTGGTGCTTGCAAGTCTTCCATTCTCACAAGCCCTAGCCTGCCTAGCGCTGCAGACCCTATTCTGCACATGCGATGCAATGTTATTGCACTGTGATGTGTTGTGCGTATTATTGCACTGTGACCTACGTTATGTTTCTCTCTCGCCGTGGGACAAACTGAACGTGCACCTTCTCTCTTTCCTTGGTTGAAAAGAAGGCAGTGTTTTACTTTCTCTCTCTTTAATTCTCCCTCTCTCGTTGTTTTTAATCCTTATTCGCTGCTCCCTGCTGGGCTGCAGAAATTAGGCACCTTCTTATAACCACTACCCCCCCCCCCCCCCCCCCCCCATTCGGCGGATGGAGATGAAGACGACAATTTGTTTGGACTGCCCTGAACTGAATTGACATGCAGTCTGTCAGTTTACAGTGATCTGCAAGGCAGCTTTCCTGTAAGGTTTGTTTTTCAACCAAAAACTCTCGTTCACAGACTGCTTTTATTTCTCATTTTAAGTAAGCGAGTACAACAAAATGTCACCTCTCCAAATTCCAGCGAAGGCACGCGAGCACAACAAGATCTCAAAAAAAGGAATGGCAAAAACGAAATGAGCCAGAAAAGCAGCCTGTGAACGTGAGTTCTTGGTTGAAAAACTAACATTACAGAAAAGCTGCCTAGCAGATTATTGCAAACTGTCCACTGTTTTCTCCTGCAGATAATTTTAGGAATACCAGGGCGTAAAGCGTGAGCACCGAGACGCTCTGAACCATCCCTGAGAAGCCCCCATCACACTTCCATGATGCTACCATCAACATATAGCTACCTTTAGTGTGTAAATAGTGTATATAAACGTTCCTCTTATCAGCCCCGGCTACTCTGCTCGACTTCTACCCGAAACTTATTGGCTAGCTCCTTCGAATACATCACGAGCAAGCGAAAGGGCACGAAGTTGTACAGGCGAATATGTGTGACATCATATCGCTTTTATTACGTGACATATTCATTCTCTGCTGCATTCGCCCGCTCGTGTCCGCAGATAACGTTCCAGTTTTATAGCGACGACACACCGTCGATTGCAGTCATGTCATTGAATATCAATTAAACAGAGGTTGCATTATTTATTTGCAAATTACTTCAACATAAAGTACGGTGAAGTAATTTATTACTTAGCCACCTGAGGAGCTTTCTAACTTGACTAACTTTTTTATCAAGACCTGAATATAAAGTTAAGATTTATTTGGTTAATTCTGAGCATTAACTTCGCAACAGAAGTACATCACCACTGTCCACAACAATTATTATTCATCTTTCACAGTGCCAGTAGGTCCGTTCAAGTTACGTGATGAAAACATGTTTGCTGGACTACGTCATATATGTATGACATGTCGCTCAAGTGTCTGTCTCCGCATTATTGACGAATCCAGCCATCTTTTGTAAACTTTTTGCTGGCAAGTTTTTTTTTAAATTTTATTTTGTTTTTTTAAAAACTGGTGGCCTCAGACAAGCTTATTACGCCTCTGCTCACCACTTATATAGCGTTGTTACACAGGGCGCCTGGGCCAACGGGGGAGAGCGGCGTTCTTTGTTTGTCAAACAAGTCACCGAAGGGCTGCCAGCCTGCTGTCCACCGTGTTTTGTCCATCTTAGCCGGGAAGTGAGGTGGCATTCCGACACCATAAGGCGTTTGACGTGACGACCACAGTGGTTTCTTGGTGCCACATGTGCAGTGTAGTGTCCACGTCCCAATCAAAGACGTTGACTTGAGCGAGTGTGAGCGGCACCGTCAGAAATGGTGTGTGTTTCCCGTGATTCAACAGCGCATTCTGGACCCATTCCCTGATTTAGTCAAAACGCACACTTTATAATGAGCCACCCAGCTCATTCGCAAGAGATATCTCGCCCTGTCTGTACAGAATGTAATAAATCCTCTGTTAAGTTTGCCATCCTACTCCTGAGTGCACATGCGTTTTCTTTTCTATCTCTCTACACCCCCTTTCTTGCCCCTATTTCTCCACCCCCAGTGCTGGGCAGCAAACCGGATGCCAAGATCTGGTTAATCCCCCAGCCTTCCTTTCTCTCTCTTGCCATCTTACTGCCTTGCCATCTTCCTCCTGGATATCTGATGCCTGAATTAAAAGGCATCAAATAATTTCTGCAGCATGTTGAGACGCTGCATATGAGTGGTCATCCTCGAAAATTATCAACTTTAACACCACGGACAGGTGATGATGTACCCTGAGTAAGTTCGAGCATGTATTATGCCTCGATGCTTCTAATCTCCATTAAACTTCTCCCTTTCGATTTCATCCTTCGGGGCTTTGTATAGTTCTTCACCTAACGCACTGCATTCGTGCTGCACTGCTACCATTTCATTTCTTCTGTGTATACGCCCTGTTTGGGGCATGATGATAGGCTGCCATCTCGGACTGATTATGATGCCGTTTTGCCTCCATATGAATATTCGAATAGTGCTACGGTGAACTCGCACGCATCAACACACTGGGCCAGTACCTTCAACGATATATGACCAAAATCATTGCTAAATACAACATAGAAAACCAGCAAAAATTGATTTTAAGCCTCAGATGGCAGCGTCTATGCATTACTGTAACTGTTACATTTATTTTTTGTCAATTTGTCCAATATGTCATTTCATACAGCGGCCATCGAACTTGTGCCGCTGCTCATAGTGGTACTTTCGGTCTTTAAAGCTGGATGAAGATAACTAAGAAGCCTTTTTTTTACTGGGTACATAAATGTGAAACGAAGCTATAAATCAAGATGAAAAAGAAAAAGACAAATCTGTGAAAATTCGGTACTGGGGCATAAATGGCGCGCCGATGAAAAATGTCGGCGGCGGTATGGTGGCTAGAAGAGGGAGGTGGGAGCATCACCAGCTGTGGAGTGTAGCAACAGATCATGGCGGCAGCGGCGGCGCTGCTGTAGCTTTTTAGATCGGTCGACGGGGGCGAGCGTCCTTGACGGCCAAACAGGCCAGGCGCTGCACGAGAAGGTATGCTCACTTTGCAGAGCTTGCGACCTCCATGTAATAACTGGAATGCAGCTGTGTGCACTAGCAATGGGGTGTTTTAAACGAAAATTTAAGCACGGAATGTATACGGAAATTAAGGCAACCAACTACCTCTAATGGCATGCAAACATACGCGGTAGCACCCAAAAGGCAAGGCGGCGTACTCCACGATAAGACCGTGCGTATAAGTTCGAATACCATTTGAAACGTCGGTGTAAAACGATCATACGCTCACAATCACAATGTTCGGTACCTCCCTTTACATTTCAATGCATAACTTTTAACGATTTTATTATATTGTAGTTTTCACAGCTGGTCACTTTTTCGATGAGTTTCGTGTCTGGTGAATTTTCTACACACCGAGTGACGTACATTCAATCAAGGAGATTTTAATAGAAATTGTATACATGCGCAACGTTCAGGGAATTAACAGCCTGCATCTTTATTTTCGTACATCGCCAATCTCATACAGCAAGCAGCTCTAAATTACAATCACATAAAAGCGCAACTCCACACATATTCACATTACGCGACAAAGCTTCAAATAGTGCATTCGCTGCCGTCGCTTGCCCTCCCGTGCCTTGTTTTCCGCTTTTACAATGAAGTGCAGCCTTGTCATTGTATAAAACTTGACGAGCCTGTTAGTAACATCTCTGGAATGTTTTTCGCAGCCAAGATGAGTTAGCCGGTTTCTTATCAACGCAGAAATGAAGTCCATTATGCTATTTGCTTTAAGCTTGCTGAAGCTAAAGCAGCACGCGAATGAGTCTTCCAAGTTTTCGATAAAAGCCTGCAGTTCATCAGATGGGTAGAGCAGCCCACCCCGGTATACTTCTCTGATTAGGCAGGCATCTGCGGGCATATCAGAATCGCGTGGTCGGATAAGGGCTTTTGCACATTCAGGGCCCTTGGTTTGGCTCAGCATCCTTCGGGCGAAACATCCAGCAACGTAATGCATAACTCGGGAGTCGCTTTTTACCGAAACCATTGCCCAGTGATCTGTTGGGATGCCAGACAATTCAAGGATTTCATGTACTTCATTGAGACACCCTATGTCCATGAGCTCGTCAAGCTTCGTCTGGAACTTTCTCCGGTCTTTGTGGCTGCCATGTATGAGGCTCTTCAGCACTGACGGTGACACATTTCCGTTAGCAGGTGCCTTCGCCAAACTGCAGAACGACAGACAATTTGCCGAAAGCAGAAACTGGGTTGGCGTCGGGTGGTCGTTGCTTCCCGACATTTGCCGCAAGATTCCGAACACATTCTCCAGAGGATCCTGGCTTAGTCTTGATGTCAGCAAGTACTTTTAACCAAGCTCCTTTGTGAGATATTCGAAAATCGACATGGTGCTTTTCAGAGTAACGCGAAGCCCTTCTGCAGTACCCTGGCTGAAGAAGCCCAGCTTTCCAACGTTTCCTTCCCACGCATCTAGATATGCAATAAATTCCTCCACTTCAGCCAGGACTGGCGAGTTGGGACGCATGGCACCGCGGCTGCAGCGGGAAGTCATGGCTGCAATCAGCCTAGCCATTCTTCTGATAAATGACACTGCTGCATCACTAGAGCCAACGCCCCATACTCTCTCGATCTCTTCCTTATATGCATGCAAACCCCTGACCATCTCATCACTGAAAAAAGTGAAGGCATAGTTCACTTTCATTTTTTCAAATCCGTTCGGATCGATGACGACTCTTGTGACACGAGGCATTGCTTTAAGCCGCACAATGTCCCTATTGTCACACTTCCATGCCTCTTTCACAACATCTATCCTGACCCTTGCTTCGGGCACCTGGAGACCCGTCGACACAATGCTGTTGGGGGCGCAGTTCACAAGATGCGGAAAGTCTGATAAGAAGTGCAGACTTCTCTGCTGTGATCTGCAGGGTGCTTCACTTTGCAAACAACTGACTTTGAAGAACCCTTGATGCCAAATTGTCGCCACATACTCCTGTTCCAGGATGCACCATCTGTGGTCACAAAATCCACAAAAAGCTCAGACTTCTCGGCAGTTAGTGTTGCATCGACAATGATCTTTGCAAGCACATCTGCCTTGACATTTCCATGGGAGCCGAAAACCCCTAAGATTTGCTGAAAGTTGCCTGAAAATGGCTGGTACAATACTACTAGACCGTGATCACACGTTTGTGTGTTTTGATCTAGAGAAGTGTATTTGCCCAAGTCAACGAAACCTTCGATGAGTCCACTGCTTGTCACTTTGAGGCTCTTCGAGAGCTTCAGCTCGTCAATTAAGAGACCTCCGTGCCTGTGAAACTCATCTATACTTTTGGTTTTTTTCTTCGATGGCAGCAAAAACATTATCATTGAACCCAAAGTTGCTCTTATAATTTCTCACGTACTTGTTCAAACAACTCTTGCTGGGCAAGACCATTATTTTATGCTTTCGAATATGCTCATACAGCTTTGGGCTTTTCATGCGCATTATAATGCAGTCCAGAAGCCATTCATCGCTGTACTTCATCCCCTGTGTTCCTTTCCTTTTCGCTGCTTCAAAGCATGTTTGTACCTGCTGCCACTGTTTCTCAGGCAGCTTAGACAGACTCTCCTGAAGGTTTGATTCAGAAAGGGCAGAATTACTTTGCTTCATTTTCGCAAGCATTTGTTTTAGTTCACTGACTTTTGCCTTTTCTCGCCTCAACCGTCTTCCCCACATAATTAGTTTCTTCGAAGCACGGTAACCAGTAGCCACTCTAGCTTTTCTCTTCTTATAGGATGCTTGGTTCAAAAGCAGTTTCCTTAGATACCTGCAGTGTATACAAGGCCTTTGATCTTGAGACATGCCTGAGCAACTTTTGCTGTACAATTTGTTTCCATGCGTTCTGTATTTTGATTGATTGGAACTGTTAAGCCGCTCCAGTGGAATAGCACCTTGCTCAAAACCGGAGCGCACAACCATCTCGTTGATGGAGTGGAGGAGGCTTTCCACAGCATTCACATCAAACACGTCCACTTTTTTTTTTACAACTTTCCCTTGCACAAACACTACACAATGATAGCAAGTATCCTCAGCAGAGCACAACACCAATTTCTTGAAGCACACACTATCACCATCTTGAGCACAAACAGTAAACGCAACAGCGTTCGGGGCATCCGCAAGTAGGCACATTGACCAGTATTTGCTTGGAAGCTTCTCACCTTTCATATGCTCCAGTTTTTCCACTGTACACGACGCGCCGGGAACACGTTCACCGTTCGTTGTCACATCTAAGGAAGAACCGTGCTCCATCGCAGGAAGTTCGTCTTCATCGTTCACTTTTCTTTTTTTGCCGAGCACTTCTCCTCTCGATGTCCGGGAGCTGCGCTTCTGACGAAGCTTTTTAGAGAGATAACTCGGCGTGTTTGGGAAGATCGACGGTATTGCATCGTCGGTAAGGCATGGGCGGCCGCGAGGAATCTTCACAACTTCACCATTCACGATGTGGGTGTAATCTCTCACAATAAACCGCTGCTCGAAGTGTAACTCGCACAGGACTGCAGTTCGGTCGAGCAGTTTGTCACCACGTGGAACGTACCGCTGCCATGCTTTCAGCCGGTCCTCATCGTTCGGTACGGTAAAAACAGACCTTTTTACACCTGCCTTTCGGGCTGAAACGTACCCGGTAGAGCATCCGGGCGCGAAGCAGTGGGTCTGGCGTTTCACTGGTTTAGCCATCACGATATGCGGTGTGAAGAGGCTTCAAAACTTCGAGCATCGTGCGAACAGTACGAACGCAAGCCGCGGAAACGCACTTGCTCCGCTTCGGCCCAGAGGGGAATCTAAATTTAAAAACGACACGCGCGCCACCGCTCGTCGGCCTGAACAACTGACACCCTCTCTGCCAACCTCCGCAACGCGCGATGCTCCCACCTCCCCCTTTTAGCTACCATAGCGGCGGTGCGCCGACCAGTCGGCGCACACCTCTAGGTAGTCCACACATTTGCCTAGTCATCGTACTTGCGGGCGGCGAATCATACTTGCGGCTCTGTTTATTGCTGTGTTTTGGTTTTGTTTTGAAAGAAATACTGAGCCCTTTTGAACTTCGTGAGCCAATTTGAAAAGTAAGTCTTAAAAAATAAAATGGTGAAGCGCAACCGCTGAACATTTGCTAATACTTGTTTCGTAAGAAAACAGCTCCAAGCCACACGAACACACACGAAGCCAAAGGCAGGCCAGAAGTACGAAGATTAGACAAATGTGTGTACTACCTACTCTTACTACCCCATCATTCCCATGCTCGTTGAAGCGTCGTGCGTTGCAGCTCCCGTAGACACTAGCGCCAGAGTTTCCTCTAGTAAGTATTGTGGGAAACTCTATAGATGACAGGGCTACGAGCGCTCTCTGTAGGTACAGTTTCCCTTCTCTAAGTGGTAGTGTAAGTGGGTTCTGTGCAACAACTGTGTTGTAAACATCAACGTGAGACACGCGGTGTGGCCATGCCGTCGAGAAACTGCGTTGATGAACTTCAGAAGTTTGTCAACGGCCATCGGGACCAGCTGGAAACATCCGGGATACCGCCGCACTTCTGGCCCACTTTGCACTGGAAGCTGCACGAGAGCGTACGTGCTCCTCACAGTCGTTTTTCCCGCCTTGTTTTGAGTCGCGTGTTTTCTTCTGGCGCAGGTGTTCGACGCTGGCGAGGTGTTTCAGATTTTGCAGGTACGTAGAATTTAATGAGCGATTCCTTGCCCGCGATGGCGCTATTTTGGGCTGTAGGTGTCTGGAAATGGAAGGGGGACAAAGCTGACATAAGCAACTACCGTCCTATAACATTGACATCAGTGGTCTACAGGCTGGCGACGCAGGTTATAAAGGAAACACTGCAGGCATGGACAGAGGATGAGGGGGTGCTCGGGGAACTACTTTCGGAAACACAGGAGGTTGGAAGACAATGGTTTCACTGACGCAGTGCATCGAAATAGCAGAAAAGGAACGCAGGCCCCTGTGGCTAGCATTTTTGGATATCAAAGGAGCATACGATAGCGTGGTTCAAGAGGACTTGAGGGGAATATTCGACACACTAGGTGTGGAAGATGGAGTCGCTAATCTTTTAAAGGAAATCTATAAAAGTAACAAGGTAGTTATAAAGGGGGGGAACAGGTATTCAAGCCCAAAGAGGTAAAACGGGGGCTTAGGCAGTGGTGTCCTCTGTCACCCTTGTTATTCGCGACGTACCTACAAGTATTAGAGGCCACATTAGAGGGAAGTGGACTTGGCCTCAACCTCTCTTTCGTCAAACAAGGAAAACTCATTGAACAGGCACTACCAGCAATAATGTACGCAGATGGTATAGTGCTAATAGTCGACAACAAGGAAGATTTGCAGAGATTGATGGACATCTGCGGTAATGAGGGAGATAGATTAGATTTGAGATTTGGTAAGGAAAAATCAGCAGTCATAATTTTTCATGATAATGAAGGTTGTGAGCTTAGGCTACAGGAAGTCATGCTAGAGATAACAGATAAATACAAATAGCTGGACGTATAGATAAGCAAAAGGACCGAGTACCTAAGGGAACACGAAATATACATGACGACTAAAGGTAACAGGAATGCAGCAGTCATGAAAAATAGGGCACTGTGGAATTACAATAGGTATGATGTTGTGAGAGAATATGGAAAGGGGTCATGGTTCCTGGGCTGACGTTCCTGGGCTGACGAGACATGGTAAAATAGACATTAAGCGGCTAGGATCATCCAGAAGAAGGTTATCTGATTGGTGGCTAAAGTCAAGGCACGAGTGAAAATTAAACCCACTGCAAAGTACCAGTCCTCAACTTCACTATTTAAAGGGAAAAAAATGGATAAAACTAGTGGTTAGTTCTTTAAGTATTACGGCTAGGTGGCGATAGCCGCCGCCGGTCTAAAGGGCACACACAGCCACATCTATCCATCCGGTGTCGCCGCGGAACTGTAGTTGTAAGCGTTAGTTCATTGGCAAATCAGCACGTGACGGAGTGGCAAGTGGTACGTATGGTCGACCTCAAAATCTTACGGACCATGCGAGCGCGTGGCCAAAAAGCTCTTCGCAGCACTTGCGCCGTGTAAGCGGCCATCGACAGCACCACAGCTACCGTGCAGCATCTCTTCCTTAACTTATGGCCTGTCTCTTTTTTGACAATGCACAAATAATTTTCACCTTTCACTTTTTAACGTAACCCGTCATTTGGCATCCGCGCCTACGTGTTTCTGCCTCGACAGCACTCTAAGCGCATAACTGTTATTAGTCGCAATATTTACCTTAAAGTAATAGCTGGCCAACCGAATGCATGGTGGCACACAGTATAGTTGTGATCCTGATGGATGGGTGGATTGATATGGCTGTACCTTATAAATCGGGCGGCGGCTAACGCCGCCCATCCGCAGTACTTAGTGAACCATCAACCAGACCTATCTTTTTTTTTTTCTTTTATATAGCGAAGTACAGGACTGGTACTTTGCAGTGAATAGTTTCATTTTCACTCGTGCCTTGACTTTAGCCACCATTCACATAACCTCCTTTTAGTTAATTCCTGCTTAAAGTCTATTTTGCCCTCCCTGTTCCTAAACACCAGGGCTTTAAAAGTTCTGTGCCATCATCCCAAAATATAGGGCGAAGCCCTTTACAGAACATTATCAAGTGTTCAGCAGTTTCCCCCCTTCTCTCCACATGCACTTTATACCATGTCTACCCCTTCGTATTTGGCCGATAAGTCTTGGTTCGCAATACTCCCTTCCTGGCCTCAAACAACAGAGAACTACCGTGAGAATTATCATAGATCCTTTCCTTGGCAAAGTTCTGCTTGAAAGTTCAATAAATCTTTAGTGCCGACTTCTTAATCATGCCTATTCTCCACATGTCTGTCTCCGTTTCCTTCATCGTCTTCATAACCGAGAGTTCTTTTTGGTATGGCCCCATGCTGTTTTCTAAGTATTTACCTGTAAATTTGGTGGTTCGCTTCCTTCATATTGCATCGACATTCTTCATGTACAAATAGCTAAAAACCTTCCAAGCGCAATGTTCTCCCATTTCTCTCAATCGCATCTCAAATTTGTTTTGCTCCTTGCTTTCCGGCGCTCGAATGATGTCCATCCCATATCACCTTGTACTACCTAATTTGGTGTATTCCTGTGAGCTCCTAAAGCAAGCCTACGTATTCTACAATGCTTAAATTCTAATCATGCTTGCACGTCTGATCTCATGCACAAGACCGCATTGCCGATCGTCAGATCAGGAACCTTGACCCATTTCCCAATTCCTCTCACAACATCATACCAATTGTGATTCCACGTGCCCTATTTTTCATCACCACTGCATTCCTGTTACCTTTAGTTGTTACGTGTATTTCGTGTTCCCTTAGGTACTCGGTCCCATTGCTTGTCCATACACCCAGATATTTGTATTTATCTGTTATATCTAGCGTGACTTCCTGTAGCCTAAGCTTACAACCTTCATTATCATTAAAAATCATGACTGCTGATTTTTCCTTACTGAATTTGAAATCTAACCTATCAACCTTATTACCGCAGATGTCCATCAATCTCTGCAAATCTTCCTTGTTGTTGGCCATTAGCCCTACATCAAAGCTGGTAGTGCCTGTTCAGTGAGTTTTCCTTGTTTGATGAAAGAGAGGCTGAAGCCAAGTCAAAATTGGAAGAGTGGTTCAACACCAACACCTGAAAAAGAATTTCTGCAGATTTCAGCAACACTGTAAAATGGTGGTTATAACGTCATGTTTTCTTTTTTTTTTTAGCATTTTATTTCTCAGAAGCCCTCCCTTAGAGAAAATATTTCGTCTTTTTTGATGATCTGTGTGCAGAAAGCTCATTTGATTATTTCTGCAAAGGCTTCTTTTGCAAAAAATTTCTGCAATTCCTGCAAGGGCTTTTGCCATAGCAAAAAGTGCGGCTGCGAGAAGCATGAGAGGCCCTATGTTAAATGTTCCACGATGGTCTTGTACTTGATGCCATTATCCTGTGGCAAAGTGAACATCGGTGAAACCAAAATATGTAATAATGACCTGTTAAGGGAACATGCACAAAAATTAACAAAGCGGGATGACAAGTATGCGCACCTGGTTGCACATGTCATTTTGTGTGGTTGTGAGGCACGATTTTCGGAGACAATGATTTTCAGCAGAAGCACAAGAAAAATATCACGTGACACGTTAGAGGCCTTTTTCATAGAAAAAAAAAGGATAAATGTGTAAGCGCTCCTTCACTATCTCTGTTCCCTTGCGAATCCCAGTTTACCGGTTCTAGGCTGTGAAATGATAAATTGTATATCTGGATGGTGTATGTTATTGGCCTTTGATGTTGTTGCTCCATGTGTGCCATGTATATATTCAATCATTAGTGCTGTGAATAAATTAGTTGGAAGTCAGTGTTGTGCATGTTTGATGCCTGGGTGTGTGTGTGAATGTGTCGTTTGTTTGTGCTCAAATTAATCTTTCTGAAATTTTTTTGCAAAGATGCTTGCAAAACATTTTTTTGTTCTTGTAGTGTATGACGAGAGGTCACACCCACCCATGCTACTAACGCTGGCGAGCTATCGATCAACACAAAAGCGGTTTGCTGTCTGTCACAGGATTGCGGATTTTATACGATGTGATAGTGAATGCATCCTCAGCAGTCGGATGAAGGGGTAAACAAGTCATTGCAAACACAGTGTAAATACGAATAATTGTAGTGACAAGCCATTTCTCAACCATGTTCTGGCACTTTCAACACTAGCAGCGCACAAGTTTCACCAGATTTTCCCTGTCTGGTGCCTTATTTCACCATTTATCAATGCTGCTAACAATGTGCTGCGTGGCAGTAGGAAATCGAAGGCTGGTGAACAACAAGAACAGCCTTTTCTGACCTAACACTGTGTTCGACGATAGATATCGCACTGCTAGGTGGCGCAAACAGGCAGTTTGGCACGCACTCGCATGGATCGTAAACTTTTGTGGTTGACTCTATTTTCATCAGCGTGCATGCGTTTACAGAATCGTGGTACCAAAGGCAGGCATGATGTCTTTGGAAGGAGTTAACGTTGTTGTAAAACATTTATTGCTATGCATGTTTCGAGCACATCACGTTATTCTCTAAGGATGACAGAAAGCTGAGGTTGTTGGCAGGGATTCATATTCGTCCCGTTGAAGTTTTTCGCACGTCAGCAGAGTGTTAAAAAGATGCTTGAGATTTCAGCAGATCTCACCCACCGTGAAAATCGATTTCATGTGAAGTGGTCAGCAAGTTAATGATGTAGCCGACTGGGCTACTTGGTTATGCATGCTTTAAGGAGCATTGACACAAAATTTGAAAAGCGAGATAATAAGTGAGATAGATTTAGGCGGAGACATGCACAATATCCATGAGGTATCAAGAGCAAATATAGCCTAGAACATATTTAAGATCAATTTTAAAGTGCTTACTACATGACTGAGTGAAATTTGAGGCCTCTTGCAATGACTACATCAACACTGGGGCTGTGTAAACAAACCTACGTCACAAGTCAGAGTTATTCATTCATATCAGTTGCGAAACTGTGTTTCAAAACTGTGACACGCAGCTAGCCCAATTTTTCGGGAATTGCCAGACTGTCATCTGGGAACGGCAATACAAAACACAATAAATGTGTTTAATAGTGAGTGTGCTGATCAACAGGTGGTGTGACACTCTGCTCACTGCCTGAGTCGTATATGGCTCAGCTCACTCCCGACATCTGGACCAATGATGCGTCTGGATTTGGATACATGGACACATGGCCTGTGAAGAGTTTCGCAACTGGTATGATTGAACAACTCTTGTCATGAGTTTGTGTTAGGTAGTTGCAGGTATGAGCCTTGCGCTTTTACTATTTGCGATTTCTTCCTTCGTGCCTGTGGCTTCGCGTGTGGTGGCTGTCCGTGCGGTGCCCCTTGCGCATACTCTCATGCAGAATGCAGATCTCAGTTTTGCATGGTCATGTGGCCAGCTGTGTTGACCTTGCACCCAGAACTGCTCCTGCCTAGCTCAGTGCTCTTTGAAACTGAGTCTGAGCACTCTAAAAATGTCTTTAAATAAGTAACTATCATGCACTCACGTAAACAATGTTTTCAGCCATGATAAGTGGGTCATAAGCTACCTATTGTTGCAAAAAAAGAAAGAAAAAAAGTGTAAAATTTTTGTGCCAGTGTTCCTTTAAGGTTAACAGCATACCTTTGAGTCTAGACCCCAAGTTTGCGGTTGTGAAGGGGACACTTGCAGAACTTTCGGCCACTGTGCGACAGGTAGCGAACTGTGCTCCACCACAAGACAGCGACAGTTGCGTGTGCGAAGGCCTGGGCGCTCTTCTATGCTGGAAGCCCACTAACACTTGTGCCTGTAGGTAAAGTTGCTGCTTACCTCGCATACAATGAGCTATGTGTTGTATCTTCAGATGTTGAGAGGTCTTTACACCGAGAAAGGCCATCAAGCAATTTCGTTCGTATTTCACATGTGCAAAAGCACCATGTTGGCTAAAGTCAGATAGAGGGCGAACTATCTTTTCTTTGACCTTGGTTTACCAGTATTGTCGCAAATAATTGAGAAAAGTGATATACTGGCCCTAAATGTGTTCTTTGCAGCTACGACTCACAAAGAACCTGTGCCTTCAGGACAATTTTATCTGAAAGGAATTCGTCGCAAATGAACCAGGGCACTTTCTGCAGGATAAGCTCATGCTTTTACCAGTAGATGACCCTTTCAGAATAAAAAAGCTCTGCAAAAGTCGTTAAATTTTTTTTTTTTTTGAAGCAGAAATCAGGCACCAGGTTGACCGTATAGTGGAGCCCCGCCGCGGTGGTCTAGTGGCTAAGGTACTCGGCTGCTGACCCGCAGGTCGCGAGATCGAATACCGGCTGCAGCAGCTGCATTTCCGATGGAGGCGGAAATGTTGTAGGCCCGTGTGCTCAGATTTGGGCGCACGTTAAAGAACCCCAGGTGGTCGAAATTTCCGGAGCCCTCCACTACGGCGTCTCTCATAATCATATAGTGGTTTTGGGACGTTAAACCCCACATATCAATCAACAGTATAGTGGAGTGGCATAGGAAGAAAGATGCTGACACTTGTCTTGTGAAAACCAACTGATTTATTGATGGCCCACGTGCTCGTCTCCTTGCGCCCATGTCCACTTAATCCTCGTCGCTGCAACAGCACTGCAGCACACGACAGGCCCCCCCCCCCCCCCCCCCCCACCGGATAGACAGAGTTGCAGTCAAAAATGGTCCATTTGTAGTTCTGGTTGAGATAGCAGAGTGGCGAAGGGTATGCAGTTTTCTTCTGGAAATCGGGACTGCAAGTGGCACAGAGGGTGGATAGGTATCTTAAGTGAAAAGTGCTCGCCGGTGCATTCCAGGCGCCACTATATAACTGTCGTAGTATGTACCTCATTGTGCACCTGGAGTTGTCTGATATCAGATGGTCAATTTCTATTTGTTTTGTATTTTGAGGTTGACCAGTTACCACCGTACTGTTTTACGAACCCTGAGTGACGTCTTCTGATCAGGTGCAGGAATTCAGTGATGGTGACTCGGCAGTTCCAGTTGAGGTCATGGACACTGCCGAGCAGGGTGAAGAAGAAGCCAAGCACTATTCAGTCAAGGTGGTCGTCACACGAGAGGACGGCATCTGCTGCCAGGATTCGGAACAGTGAGTGACTCTGTGGTGCTCCTCACGTGCATCACCGACTGATACAGTACCGTATAATGGCAATGTAGGAAGACAACCAGCAGACTCTACTAGAATCTAGGAAGAATTATCGGCCTTCTTGTTTGTTAAATAATCCTGTTCAGCCTTGCAGCACACTGTATATAATCCCTGCAGTGGTAGAGCAGTTTGTTAAGAAGGTAGCGTGCAACCATTCTGGAAGAGATCTGTTAAGCTGACACTCATTCAGTCAATAGCAACCGATGGTCGTGGCCAGTACCCTGGGTACATCTATGAAACAAAGCATATTTTTCATTCTAGTATCACATTTTAATTTATCATATTGTCAGGAAGTGTTGTGGGCAACATACAGGTACTGCTGTTGAGAGCAGGTTGCGCTGCTTATGCTGGGTCAAGCAAACGGGCACAACGTTGGGAAATTGATGACAGATGCACTGGTGTCTTTCATATTTCGGTCGCAAACTCACTGCTTGGCCTGTGCCAATGATGGGCGAGAAGAACAGCATAGATGTAGTGCTGATGAAGGTGCTAGAGAGTGTAATTAAAATGAGACATTCATGCCAGCTCATAAATCTTTCATCTGAAGAGGCAAAGCTGTGACATCATAACCGTTGGCACTCCCAGGAACATGACAAAAGTACAGGTGCTCCCAAAATAATTCGGAGTGCCGGAGCGATGACCGCTCATCGGCGGAGCGCGCCGGTGAAAAAGTAGTGCCAGTGCGTACACGTGCGCGGTTTCCCTAGCAAGCGTGCCTCGTTCCCCAAAGGATCTAAATAGCTATTGGTTTGCTCCAGAAGAATAAAACTGGGTGCGTTTTGCGGATGCGGTCTCAACACTAAGTGTGCGTGTATGCACGCCATGGAGCATACGTGCGCATGCATGTGCGTTAATGGGCATCAGTGCTTTTGAAAGTCAATAGTATAACTGGCTCATTAGTTGCGGAATGTGATCTCCCGCGGCTCATTTTCGGCAACACCTGCGGTAGCAAAAATCGGAAAGCAACATACTGCAACTCAACCGTTCAAAAAAGCACGTAAAGGTTTATTAGGCACCGAATAACTTCGACTAATTCAAAAGTCCAAAGGCTAATCTTAAGTAATTAAGGTAATTAGGAAGATTGGAAGGAATAAGGATTAGGAAGGAATTAGGAAGAACACCACATGAAACATTTATTACAGCTAGCTAATATGTTTACTAGGCAAGTAAACGTAATTATAATTAAATGTTTTTGACACACGCATCATAATACAAAGAAGGAAGTATAAATTCTAGACTGCATGTTAATACTGCTCACGCCAAATTAAAAAATTACGAGCTCCACTAATTACAACATATTCAAAGCTCCGCAACAGCGAGTCCGTAAATTCAACAATATGACGGTCAATCAATAGTCACAACTAATTAACCAGAATGAAGCAATTGGAAATGGAATGACAACAATGCGCAACGTTTTTGTCATCAAAGTGGTTTTGAGAATTGATAAGAGAGCCTATATAGTTTTTTAAAATATTTTTGGCGATGGCAAGACTGTCTCTTCAGATACGCCTGCATGATACTTTACTATAGATTTGCCATGCGTGACTGTGTGCAGCGCGGCAAAAGGTACACATTCATCCCACATATTCGTGAGCAGTTTACACGCCCGATTGATAAGAAGATGTGAAGATATAAAAACCACCAAACTGTCGCGAAATTCAGCTCTTTTCCTGTCAGGGCAGCTTGCCGAAGAGAGTGCCATTTCACGGGTGGAGAAGGATTGTTGACCAACCTTTTCAAGGTTGAGACTCACACCGCGCTGGAATTAAACACACAAATAAAAGACACACTGAAGCACAGGTAGGACACACACGAGCGCGAACTAACAACTGTTTATTCGATGGAAATGTGACACACACATATATAGGTTGAAAGGAGAGAAAAAGAAGAAAAAGAAAGAGCGTGAACATGCGCACTGCCCACCAAGATAAAGCGCCCATCAGTGCTAATCAAATCCAGCCTTGTCAACTATCTAAAATGTCTACGTAAAAAAGTATATTCATTGTTTGACAAATGAATAGATGGCACACTAACACATTTGTCCTCACCAAACCTGCGCATCATGAAAGCTTCAATGATTTCTCTTTCCCTTTTGTCTTCTGATCTGGATAAAACAATGGTCTTTTCAAAGTTCGGCTTACAATGACACTTCATGCAATGGGTAGCTAAGTTACTGGGGTGACTGATTTGCTTGCAGTTATAATCATGCTCGCGTAAACGTGAGTTAAGGCACCTACCAGTTTGCCCAACGTACCAATTTCCGCAAGGCAAAGGAGTACCATATACAACATTTGTTTCACATGGAACAAATTTGTTAACATGCCTAACCGAACATATGTGGTTGTTCCCTTGGTTGCCGCTGTTTACTTGGTGACAAAGCGAAATTAATTTGTGAGGTGCCGTAAAGGTCATGGGTATGCCATGCCTACTTGCAATTTTTTTCAGTCCATGCGAAATGCCGTGAACGTAAGGCATAACAATAGGCCTCTCCTCTGGCTTCTCTTTTATTCCTACGTTCGTGTTGTGCGTGCTGCCGATGGTTTTTAAAAGCCTCTCGGCCAAGGCTGTGATTAAGGCATCAGGGTAATCACTGTCCCTAAGTCTATCAATCTGCTTCATCAAACTACGTGCAACCATGTGGTCACACGACTTTTGGCAGCTGTTTTACATGCACGCATATGCAACACTTCTTTTCACAAGCTTGGAGTGACCCGAGCTGTAGCTTAACAAACTTTTATCACCTCTAACGTCATATTCCCAGCACATGTGTCCCTCACCTTGCGAAATCATGATGTCTAAAAACTTTATGCCAGAACTTGTGGGCAACTCGTAAGTGAAATCAAGACCACGAAATGTTGTTTTAAACATCGCGACAAAAACTTCGGGTTTTATGTTGGCACATTTCGACCTAGGGAAACATAATAAAAAATCATCAACGTAGCGGAAACATGCCACAACGCCGTACCCTTGCAATCGGGGTTGCAATTCACGATCTCCTTTCGCCATGTACAAATTCGATAAGATCGGCGCCAAGCACGAGCCGATGCAGATACCGTCGTTCTGAACAAAAATGGATCCATTGAATTCCACGTACAATGACTGAAGGTAAAGGCGCAGCAAATCCAAAAAACTACGAACACTAATCCCACACTCGTTTTGAAATCTAACAACCCCGTAAGTGTCAATGCCTTCCTGCACCGTAGTAATGGCCTCAGTTTGTGGGATGTTGTAGTACATGTCCTTGACGTCTATAGATATGCACGTCACTGATTGTCCCTTCTTTAGGAATTCAATAATACCGTTTGAGTTGCTCACCCCAAAAGGGTCTTCCACTGCGATGAGTTCCAACATTCCTTTGAGAAATCTAGCTAAAATGTGCTGCCAAGTACCTTTATCTTCCACGATCATCCGGAAGGGATTGTCTTGCTTGTGCGTTTTGGTAGTGAAGAAGGGTCTCAATGTGGTCCCGTTGCAACCCTTAAGGTCCTTTTCCAGCTTCTGTAGTCCCAGTCGCTTACACAAGCTAACGGCTTTTTTGTGAACATTCTGCAACGATGCGCCATCGAGATCCACTATTGAGAAGTTCTTTTCAACCGCTTCTCTAGCCTTAACCAGGTGTCGGTCTACCGCCATAACTACAAATCTTCCCGTCTTGTCCGACAATTGTAGCGTCAAATTTTGGTCTTTTAAAAATTTTACCACGTTTTTCACATTCTCGCCTCTCGGTCTGCGCAAAGGGTGTTTGTTGACACACTTGATGCCCTCTACAATGCAAGCATTCTTCACATCTTCTGGAACCCTGCGTGCCACGTCGTGAACGAAGCTCAAAAGTTTTGAAGGTTTGCAACAAGGTTGTGTCGCAAATTTTGGACCTTTGTCAAGAATGGACCGTACCTCTTGTGGTAGCTCTACATCAGAAACGTTGATGTGCCCTGTCGATGCGACACTGGGTGACTTCCTCCTATTCCTGGGAAGCGACGCGAAGGACAGTCTCCATAACCGTTCCCCCAGGTTCTCGGCCGTGTCTATGAAGAAAGCGTACATCAGGCTTGACGCATTCGGAACGAGGTGTCTTGCACAAGTAGCCTTGATATGCAACCTAAAAATCCGTATTTGTCTCCAGCTCTCAGCTCTCAAAATTTTACACAGTCGTCTCGACGTCTTCTCGGTGGGTGCAATCCTGCCCAGCAATGAGGACAAGACGGCCATCGACAACCCATGCGACAAAGCATAAGTAAAGGTGCGCGTTCTGGCTCTCTCTTGAGCAATGCAGTTGACGAAGAAGTATAACCGCTGAAGGGGCGGAAGGTCAGGAACATAGAAGCCCGATGTACTTGAAATGACGGTTAGAAGGGCAAGAGTGGGGGCTAGTTGGTTGAACATTGTTGAGACTCACACCGCGCTGGAATTAAACACACAAATAAAAGACACACTGAAGCACAGGTAGGACACACACGAGCGCGAACTAACAACTGTTTATTCGATGGAAATGTGACACACACATATAGGTTGAAAGGAGAGAAAAAGAAGAAAAAGAAAGAGCGTGAACATGCGCACTGCCCACCAAGATAAAGCGCCCATCAGTGCTAATCAAATCCAGCCTTGTCAACTATCTAAAATGTCTACGTAAAAAAGTATATTCATTGTTTGACAAATGAATAGATGGCACACTAACACATTTGTCCTCACCAAACCTGCGCATCATGAAAGCTTCAATGATTTCTCTTTCCCTTTTGTCTTCTGATCTGGATAAAACAATGGTCTTTTCAAAGTTCGGCTTACAATGACACTTCATGCAATGGGTAGCTAAGTTACTGGGGTGACTGATTTGCTTGCAGTTATAATCATGCTCGCGTAAACGTGAGTTAAGGCACCTACCAGTTTGCCCAACGTACCAATTTCCGCAAGGCAATTTCCGCAAGGCAACGCCGTACCCCGATTGC